ATTGCATGTTATATTGATGAGAAAAAAGCAACTTGAACACTTTTAAAGGCTAACGCTGTCATGATTTAGTCAAGAGCTCGGACCCACAATGCAGATAAACAATCCAGAGAGACAAGGGGAAAAGTTTAACAGGTTTTATTGAAAAGTTTTTTGGAGATTCCAGTGTTGCTCTGAACACCGCTTAACCGGAACTGAAAGGTGAGGGGAAGACACTGCGTTTAGTTCAGGTTCAGTGGGAAAATTGATTCTTGAACTTGAAGAGGAAGAAAGGTAGGCAGACTCACGTTTCCAGAGAATTGGTTGACTGTTAGACTCCAGTAGGTGAGGAATGTGTTCCGGTGTTTGTCTCATACGGTGCAGGGCGGACAGGGTTACCCAGAATGCGGTTGCTTGTAGATAACCGGAGAAGACTGACTGCCACTATGTTTTCCTGCGGTACTTGAACGGACCGTGGTGCAGATGAATCCCTTGGGATGAATTCCTTGGGGGGAAAGTGGATCCAAACCTCCAGTTTGTATCCCCAGCTCAGTATGAAGCTCAGTAGTTCCTTCCAGGGAGAGAAGGTCCGAAAATCCAGTTTGCAGGATGATTTCCTGCCGAGAGGCAAAAACAAAAAAAACAACAATGTTAAGACTCAGGTTGACAAAGACTCAGTTTGACTCAGTAAAACTCAGCTTGGCTAGAGTACCCAAAACTGGCAAACACTCTGGCATCGAGGTAGTGGCAATCAGCAGCTTAAGAGCACTCCGTTAACGAGGTAACCCCTTGCAGGTGTGTGAGGAGGAGAATCAAAACCAGGCGCCGCCTGGTGGAGGAAGGAAGACAAACACACAGACTACACAGACTGGAGTCCTAACAAATGCACAGGCACAGCATAAAAGTATATAGCATTATGCATGCACAATTTGCAAAATAGAAAAATTCTATAGCATTAACAGACATGTACTGGTAATTCAGTCTTGATGTAAAATCTTGAAATCATGCCTAATATGTAATTACCGTACCACAACAATGTAATCAATACATGTCTATTACATGTACATCATCAATCAAGCACTTTTGGCACATGTGTATTATTATGCTCCATCAACACATTCATTTTGTTGTGATGGGTTTGTATGATATGTCATGTTACATAATTTATAGACTTCATTGACTTCATAATGACAATGCAATGTGATGTGCCTAGTTAAAGTAAGTTAAAGTACTCTACTTATTTAGTGAAACAGCAAGTGTGTGTAAAAGTCATGAATTTATCTTTATTTAAGAAAATCATTGTTATTTGATGCTGTAGCGCAGTTATTGTTTACATTGTGACCGGACTAACTAGAGAGTACCAAGAGTGGCAACTGGTGACTTCACCTCAACCCCGTAGAAACAACGGGCAATCAGCAATCCAGTGAATGAATAGAGATCAGTGGGGCTAATCAGTTGATAGGGAGCAGGTGTGGACTGGAAAAACTAAAAAGGAGTTAAGGGGAGGGGGGAAATGGACGACAGATCTAAATGTAACTGGGAAAGAATTTAAATGAAGCTAAATGTAATAAAACAAATGACTACAAATAAAAGCAAAGCGATAAATACATAATGCCAAAGATGTTAAAAACAGATAACTGAAAGAAATAAGGGAGAGTAAAACTAAGAATTAGAAAATAACATAAATCTTTACAAACACAGAGTAACATAAAATGAAGCATTACTGAGAACCCAAAATGAAAACTTAAACAGAACCAAAAATTTCAGAAAGGGCAGAATCATGACTCATGCTCTTTGATGGAATAAGTCAAGGGCCAAAAAATGTTGTAGGGTTAATGCCTTGCAGACGGATCTACAAATAATAATAATAATAATAATAATACAAATTCAGTTTTGACCTAAAAGCTTTAGTTTTAGGAGTGCTGTAAAGCCAAAGATGAAGAATTACTTTCTTTTCAGCATCATAGTGAGTAAAAGCATCTTTGCATTATCTGTATATGATCCACCTTGGTCTAACTTTGCTTGCTTAAAATCCATGAATTTTAGCTGTGCTGTGTAGATTTTTATGAGCAACTTCCTGTAGTATATTTTCATATGAAACTCTTCAATGTCAGCCAACTGCTTAGACATGGATAAGGTCCCTCCACTGGATTCTTGCACTGGCCCGCTGTGGGATTCTGTGAAAATAAAAAGCAGCATGGACCTAGATGGGATTGTTCCTGTTGTGAATGTGGGTTGGAAACTACAAGCTGATGGTGAGTCCTGGTTTAAACAAAAAACTTTTGTGTTTTAGTTTTCTTTGTAGATTATGGTGTGATGTTTTTAATTATTGCATTGATAAAATAACCCAATAAAGAATCGCTTCACAGACTGCTCTCTGCTTTATCTTCACAGCGTCCATTTCCATAATTCTAGGCTCAGAGATAAAGGTTATAGATGAAAATACCAATCAAAGTGTCTGCGTTCAGTTTCGTTTCTCCATTAAAAATGTACTGAACCCAAACTACGAAAAGGTAAAAGAAGTTTCTGTTTTGTTTGTAAATGTAATGTCCCTGTTGTTCGTGGTTTTTTTATTTAGCCCTCTGCTTTCATGCCTTTTAATTTTCACATTGTTCTGCTCTCCTGGGATTTCATCCATCTCAATTAGGAGGATTTGAGAAACATAACATTTGTTTTGATAATTAAATAATTATGAAAAGTTGCTGTTTTGTTATTTATCCACCAATATCCCTTAAAGTATAAGATAAGATTTGGTTTTAGTGCATCTGTGAATAAGTAAAAGCTAGATACTGTACCTTTAGTGTTTCTTAAAAAAAAACAACCTTTTTTTTATATTTTATTTTTTCCTTTTTGCTTTTAAAGCACAATTAGAAAGACAAAATGAAAGAAAAAAAAGTTCATTCTTGTTACTGGAGCAAGAAAAAAGCTTTAAAGGTATTTCTTTTCAAGTAGATCTTAATGTAATTTATTTTTTACCTTTGAAAAAAATCAATTAAACTTTGTAATTTGTTCAGAGAGATTTCTTTTCTCAGGAGTAAAATCATCAGCCGGAAAAATTTGAGCATTACTCCGTTCACTTTTTTGACTACAAAACTTAGAAAAATATAAATTAATCATAAATTAGGAAAACTTTAATTTAAATTCTGATCACTGCAAAGGGAATCTATAGGAAACCTTATAAATAATGCTTATTTATTCATCATAACTGTTTGCTTAATAAGAAGCTTGCGACTTCTGGAATTTTAATATATAAAACATTAGATTTCTGATATGATTTTCCAAAAACTTATGATTAGATGATGTTACTGTTTCTATGCAGAGTAAATGGTATAGAAAACAAAGTCTCTCCTGTATATTATTATATGCACACCATCCCAAATAATTGGTTAACCACTGCAAAGCATGTGATTACTCTGTGCACAAACTGTAGGATATCTCTCCATGAAGCAGTGTGTCAGGTGTTTCGGTCATAGCAATGAAACCCTGCAATGATTTGGATTTTTTTATTCCAGAAAATAAACCACTTTTAATTGTGGGGTTGTTGTTTTTCTGCATAATCCAGGTTGGCAGCCATATTGGAAATTTAAGGTCAAATTTCTCTAAATTAGTACTTATCTTCTTCTATTTAAAATGACCTCCATTCAAGTTTATTACTTTTAATAATACTAGACATATACATAAATCAAAGAGCAAACACAGCAGTCCGGTCTGTGCATCATTTTGAAATTCCTCTACTTTGGTCAATTGTGCTTTCTCTCACACATACTTTATACAGTATAACACTTTTGTCAATTTATATACAAACTGAGGTTAGGGTTCCAGTTTGCCTTATTTCTATAAAGTGAATGATTCTGAAATTACTTCAAAATACGAATATTAAATATACTTATTGGAGACATTAGTGACCTCAGTTAGGAAGTGGCAAACCAGCTAAAGGAATAGTACACCCAAAACATGATTAGCCTTCATTTTCTACTCACCCCCATGCTGAACAACACTCTGGAGTTCTTTTTTGTTATCTCAAATGCATCTG